AGAACTCAAAAGAAAAATGCAAGAGCCTCTCCCAAAAAAATCAGCCTTTAAAAATAAGGATATCTACAATACTCATAAAAAAAATTTGAGACTGTAAAATGAAAAATCGTACTTGGATATTTCAGTAACTGTGACAGCTGTTGACAACGCACTGCCGCGAGAAGTGAATTATTTAAAATCCGGAGGCCAAGTGTTACCAAATACAAATTACAGAGCAAGTTAAGTTATGGAATAACGAAAGAGTATATTGAAAGACAGTGTCAATGTTCTTTTTTATTTAGTCTTTAATTTGGACTTTTTTAACGGTTATAGGTTTTTGGTGGGAATAGATACTTTACCAAAATACCACGTGTATTGATAGATATATAAAAATGTTACTTTTAAGAATTTTTTTTAATACCAGTAAAAATAGCCTAAATATAAAAATGCGTGAGAAATTATAACACTTACAAAAATATACACGTAAGTACCTAATTATATTAGTTGGTATGATATTATAATCCCTAGTTGTTTTATTATCTCTTTTGGTTTAATTTATATATTTATCATACGTGTAGGTACTGGACGATAATTTGGTTGAACCCACAATACAATATATAATATAGTAGAGGCAGCATATTAAATACCAAAGACCTAATTATTATTTTAAAGCGTGGAATGTTTAATTAACATTTATGATATTGACTCTTACCGATCTAATATGTATTATACAATACATTTTACTTACATGCATGGTTGATAGTTCTAAAAAAATAAAAAATATAATAATATAGAGTTACTGAAAAAAGCAACTATATAGGTAGGTACCTATGTGGCTATATGCACTGCAGTATATAGCTATAGTCACACGGTACACAGGATATACGTTGTGCTATATATTATGCCCACGACTGCAGCACATTAAATATATTTTACTGTTTATTAAAATCGTAAACCAAACGCCGGTTTACAAAATACCTAACATCGCTACTTAGGCACCTAATGTGATATATATATATTATATCTTCACTACATATATATTGTAATAAAATATATGGGTCGTGGATATACGTATATAATACATATTATAGCGATGCTCGTTTGTGTATACATAATACATACATATAGGCATATAGCTTGTAAAGTTGTATTATATTATATACACTATGCTCACAAAAAAAGTTTTTGAAACTTGAACACGACGCGAGTTTATTTGATTAAAAATCGTTTTCCACGAGTTTCCCAAAAAAACGTAAAACGGCGCGGTCTCGAAGGTTTTGCGGCGTTGCTGACGTAGGAGTCGGGGGGAGTGCGGTGAAAAAAGTGTATACATAATAATATAGATATTATTTTATGTGGCGTTTGAGCGGGGAAGCAAACCGTTGGCAAACGGTGGCGGCTGAGGCGCGCGCGGGGAAAGCAATCTGCGCGTTTGATAAACAGTCGTGAGGATTTGGGTTGATCACTGTTTATTAGGCATAGGCGCAGCACGGATGGGGGCAGAATAGGGTCCGTTAAAACAAAACTCGGCGCCTTTCTGGTCCCGGTGGCGGCGGGGAGGGGGGGAGGTGTTGTACGGTGTAGTCGGACGAGAGGGGTGTGCGTGGGTCTGTGGGTGAAGAGTGGAGACTCGAGAGGGGATCGGTGGGTGTTATTTTACTTTCGTTGCGCCGCCGGAGGGAGCCGATGGGAGGCCGTGGCGGCAGCGAAAAGGTGACAACGACGGGGGACGGGCCTGGCGCACTACACGCCTCCCGCACGGTCGGCGTTGGGCTCCGGGCGGGCTGGCGTACAGTTAATATCGTATAAAGCGCGCCGCGTTACCGCTCGCCGGCCTTCACTGAAACAACGATGTGCAAAAACTTTTAGGTTAGGTTTTATTCGAGCCGCTGCCGTTCAAAAACAGACACTTCTGCGATCGACAAAAGCAATTGGACGGCACGCGTCAGACAATCGTAAATAGTAAATAGAAATATTATTGTTATTATTATTATTACTATTGTTATTGCACATCACTACGAATGCTCGACGCTCGCTTGTTCATTTCCGGAGTAATAATAATGTTCGTTATGTATAGTGTATATCTATACCTAACAATTTGTAAGTTTTTGGGAAAAAATTACTTCTCCTAGTAACTACCAGTTTCAACAATTACTATCCTATTTTTTATTAATCGGAATACTACACACGATGGTAAGCACTCTACGACAACACGACGTACATACGTTTAAATGGTGAAATTAACTCTATGTCATAAATTGGAATGAGTAACCAAAAAAGTTATCAATTAGCGATGAGTGGTAACAAAATATGTCGTGAGGACAGGGGAGAATGTATTTAAAAACGAATCTGTCATCTTAGTGATGGAAAATAATTCTAATATAGATTTTATCAGTCAATCATGAAATCAATTTGGGTATTTATCATATTTTATTGTAATAATATTGTTTTTCTACTATAAATGTTTAGTAAAACACAGAATGTTAACATGAAATATTAAAGTTGAATTCTGGGAAAATGGCCCTCCCGAAACGCGTTATAGGGGCACGGGACATTATACAAATTCAAAATTGCTACAGTCCGTCGAAACCGGAACGTACCTACGGCAATATTTTTACACAAGAAGTAATTGTTTATACTTTATACGTAAACTAATAACATTTTAAATCTTAACATATTCCCATGAATTGACGTATGGCGTAGATACTAGACAGCCAGCCAATAGTATGGACCACATAAATAAGTAATGATGCATGATGGAGTGATGATTACATTAGTAATCGTTTCAATTTAATTTCGTTTACATATTGCATAATTCCGTATGTCGTATACACTACCTGCAGTACACCGTTATAATAATGATTTAGGCAGGTACCTACATAATTATATATTAATATTAGAAGTCGAGTGTATCGTGTATATAATGTAGGTACTGTCAGACATATATAAATAACTAGATAGCCGACTTTGGTTTATTTTTATAGGCAAAATCGCCATATGCCTAAACGGCAATGTTTATATTTCAATGTGATAACAAAAAAAAAAAAACTATAAAGCTGGTTACACACGAAACGGATCGCCCGCGCGCGGACGAGGATTCTTTTTGGGACTGCGTCCGCCACCGCATCCGCACTTATTTACACACGAGGCGGAATGACCACGCGGACGTGGATTTAGACCACTATGAACGTCCGCGGTTTGCTTACACACGATTACACGAAGCGGATTATGAATGACACAAATAAAAAATAGGCTGGAAAAAACCGCGGCGGTTGGCGGACGATCCGCCTCGTATTAATATGGCTATTGGAAATCCACAATTTAATTTTAGCCAGCTGATCGGCCGCTCGAAAATTGAACAAGCGCGGTCGTCCGCTAGCCATTTTCCTTTGCTTGAATATAACCATTTAAATGTAGGTGTTTAATTTTTAAAGTTATCTATATCGTGTTATCACATAACAATGTAAACATTGCCGTTTAGGCAAATGGCGGACAAACTGCAATATTCTGTACAGTGCTTGGTGATAGTCGGCTATCTAGTTGTTTATATAATATGTCTATGGGTATTGTAGACAATAAATATATAATTTAGTAAAATTAAAAGCACTTGAGATACTTTATTTAATTATTTATATTTCATCATTTCTATTTAGTGTGTATGAATAATCCCGCTTAAATAAACTTGGTTTTGATGATAGTGATTAATCAACATTCCACTACATGTATAAGTGAAGTAAAATTTAAACAAATCAGTGTTTTCAAAATACTAAGAAATTAAAATTAAGGATAAAAGGGAATTTTTACTCAAAATCTGTATTTGACAAAATCGATTTTAGTTTATTGATATAACTCATCCATAGCGAATAACCTTAGGTATTAAACATTTAAGTTTAGATTATTATTATTCAAAATGTTAATAATAGCATTTCCTATTTATGAACAATTTTTTGTCTAATTGAACTATTTATAGACACTTTAAATTTAAAAAAAAAATGTAGTTTGTTTTTATTCTATAAATGTCGGTGGAAAAAGTTTTTGCTGTATTAAGCTTGAAAATTCAAATGTAATCATACATTCTTCATGAGTTGTTCGTATACCAATTAAAAAACATTGAAAATACATAATAGCAATATTAAAGTTAGAATTATAACGAAATTCAGATGCTTGAAATCAACTATATTATTCTCAAGTTCATCGTAGGTAGATTATTATGCGTATTATTGTGGATTATCGTCCGTTTATAAGCTGGAAATCAAAGTGGTATCATTGATGATTGTAATTTGATGTAATGTAACTGTAATGTGCAAGTGTGTCTGATTTCACTGTCGATCCGAGCGTTATTGATATTTAGAAGAACTTCAAAGAATGTTTGGGTGCCTACGATTGCTGCTCAAATGTGATATACCTACTATAAAGAAAGTATAGGTACGCTCCCCACATAACGCCCACAGCGCCAGTTTCAGATGAATAATTGATAATAAAATAATTTTGTAAGTACTACCTATATCGGAAAGTAACATCTACATTATGCATGAATATAATATATTATTATACCTTAATAAGTATTTACTAAGTACAAAATACGATATGTAATTCAGGATAATGACTTACACTACATTTAAATTAAACATGCTCTAAATAGTATAAATAATTATATAATTATATGCCCAAGCAATATGAATACTAGATGTTACCCATCAATATGATATTTTGAAGTATTACTAAACATATGCTCACAAGTTCTATTATATGATGAGGGCAATGCGTAATATTATTATATTGTGTATAGTGATATTATTTGATTTAAACACGGGTCCCCAAATAATTGATCTAGACATTTTTTAATTTGTTGTAATTAATCAAAAGTAGAGTGTAAATATATGGTCTAGTTCATACGGGTGTTGCATTCCTGCCCAATAGCACATCTTCCGATCTTCGACAAGTTTTGGGTTTGCTTGTCACATGGTGGATATTTCACAATTTTTTCAGTAAATACAAAGTGAATATAATATAAACCATACCTGCACTCTGGACTCGGTGAGGCCGATCCGCATGGCGATCTCCTCTCGCATGAAAATGTCCGGATAGTGGGTCTTGCTGAAGCACCGCTCCAGCTCGTTAAGTTGTGCCGGCGTGAACCGGGTCCGATGTCTCTTCTGCTTGTTCGGCTTACCGGCGTCGTCGCCGTTGAGCCCGACGCCACCACCACCGGCGGCGGCCACAGCGGCGGCAGCGGCCAGTCCGTGACCGGCCGCAGTTGATAGGTCGAATCCGCCGCACGACAATCGGAAAGGTCCGCCGCCGCCGCCACCACCTCCGGCGCCGGTGGACAGCTGATGCGGCGGTGACGGGCCGTTGCCTTGCTGCAGGTGACCGTTACCCGTACCGCCGAGTCCGTGACTACCCCCGACGTCGTGTACACCTCCCCCACCACCGCCGGTCTGCAACTGGTGTAGCGAACGGTGTTTGAGACCATCGAAGTCCTTATGGCCTATGGTGCGAAAATAACATCAACAACAACAAAATAAAAAATAAAACATGATATATTTTTTACGAAAATAAATTGTAAATTGTACAAAACCATAACTTATTAATATTACAAAAATATGATTTTTGTCTAAAATAGTTGTTTGTTTAATATTATAATATTATAATTATTTTCCGTCCAGGGTATAATGTTGTCGAACCTCCGTGACGATCACCAGCTGTACATTATATAGGTACAAAACACTTGTGAGTTATGAATTGTAATATATTATGTCAAGACTGTACAACGGTCGAAGAAAACATCGAAACTACAAATCAGCGGATGCGGTGTGTCAGTATAAAAACCAACGTCTACCTATAGTGTGCGCGAGTAGGACGTCGATATTATTTGTGGTTGGACCGAAGACTGAACGGGTGTTATAACTTAAAAGGAATGACGGCGTGCAGGGCAACGCGATGGTATTACACGAGCGCGCGTACATAGCGGTAACGGTGCGGTCGTCACGGGGCTAATTTGGCGTTGAAAATTAAATTTAACCGACCGTCCAATCAAAACCCGAGATTTCTAATATAATCAACCGACCGCGGCGATGTGCAGAACACGTATATATATATATATATAAGTGACGGGACGAGCTGGTGCGAACGGACACGCGAGAATCATATACTTGTGTATATATTGTACATATATATATATATGTATAATATTATGTATAGGTATAAAATGTGTACAATACAGTACACAAAACACACACACACACACACACACACACACACACACACACAGGTCATTGCGGTATATGGGAATGGAATAGCCGGGGGGATGTGGTGGACATGCGCGCTCATCGTTGTCCACACGGACTTATCGTGTTGCCTGCGTCCTAATGGTACCTAGCTATATCCTTCCGGTTCTCTCTTAGTTTTTCTCTCATTCGGAACGCGTTACCGTCACTCTCAAACTACGTACATATTGATCCACGATACGTATAAATTATAATTGGACATCAGCTACGATTACATAATAATCTACATAATATTTCCAATCTGAAACGACGAATTGGGTATACGTACTGTACTACTGTGATAATATTATGTCAGTTCTTACAGAATAATGTGGACTGTGGAGAGTTACCGAGGTACTGACTAAACGAATTTTTTAGGGCTTAGCTGCTTAGCATATTAAGTGGGTTTTGGGTATGTATAAATATCTACTCTAGTTGTGTTAGTTTGTTCGATAGTTTTATACTCGACGTTGTAATAAAAAAACAATATTGTATACAGGCTGTAGGTAGAGCAGAAACCTTTTTTCCAGCTCCACGTGGAACTTAAGAGAACCTAAAAAAGAAAAATTTAATTCAGCGATATTGTTGGAATTTGTCTCTTAAATCACAGGATTTAACTAAATCAGATTTTAAGAACTTTTAATTTCGTTATCTTTGTTTATATATATACAGTTAGGTAGGTTAGGTTCACCAATAAAAGCATATTAAATCGATTATCACACTATCAGACTATCACACTAAGAATACGCAGCTTATGTTTTTCAGCTAAGTACTTCAGTAGTTAACAGTACATATTTAAAACTTTTGATAGATATTAGATACGGTTCATATCGTATTCTTTTTAAATTGTATAATATAGAATCACAATTTACTGGCTTATTGCGTAGTGCTGTATAGTTGTATTAAAATAGGTACTTTTAGAAACCAGGAATTGTTATCATGCTCGCAGGATGAGCTCTCCTAACTTAATTTTTTAATTGTCCTTCGTATTTGTTATATATAGTATTGGATTTTCGTGAAAAATAACCATTTTGTTTTGTTTTTTTTTTAATAGTCTAACATAGACTATATACCTACCTGTGCTCGTTCAACTTTGTGTTTATTATACGCACATATCCTGATTTTTGAGTAATTTAATATATAATTTTGTTTTTTATTGAACTTAAACTTCGGCAACAAGGGTCAATAGCTTCATACATTATATTTCATAACAATTTGATTAAAATTATATTATAAAAGGTAATTTCTTCTTTATCTTGAATTGTAATTGGTATCGTCTCTATGTCAAAGTTTATAATGATTTTTTTAATTGGTATGTGAGCTAAATTTTGTTTTTATTACGTTTTATAGGTAGGTATTGTTTGATTTATAGATGCATATTATATTGGTACAATCACACCTGTACAAAATATCTACGATGGCGTATAAACTATAAAGTATAAAAATGTTGTAATGTGTTTACATATGGTTGTACAATATAAGTGAACATTTATTACTGTTCATGCAATACTGCAATGTCTATGTCAGTCAATACAATACTGACAAGACATTGCAGATTTTATCGTATGTTTTCTTTTGTTTGTCTTACTGATCTTATGGTTTCTTTAAGTCTGCAGGATAATAAATACATTGAATCAAATAGCGATTGAATGTTAAGAAAAAAACTTAAGTAAGCTCAAATATGACTTTGACTAAAACAGAGGCGGCGCGAGAGGGTTTTTGTGAGACAAATGTCTCACAGCTAAAAGGGGTGGTGGGTGGGTCCCGAGTAGGTACCTATAGTGGATAGTCAGTTCTGAAAAATATTGAGTGACAAAACGTATCAAATAAATAAATATATAAATAGTCATATTCATATAGAGTATAGACTATAAAGTATAGACATAAACATGGTTTATAAATAAAACAAATGCTTACCTGACATTCAGACGTATTTTCCACAGTTAACCAGAAACGAACAATAACTGATTAGTATTAATAAATATGAATCGCAACTGTGTGTTAATGACTTGTTTTCACATTCTGTCAGTAATACAGTGTTTTGCTGTTATTAACGTTATTATTGCAGTCTCAACTCTCAAGCAAAAACTTGGATTCATTTTTAGAAAGGCTAATTTGATATAGAATTATAATGCGGGGTGTGGGGGGCGTAGACCCCTACGGCTCTGTGCAAAATAAAAAGGTGGGTCGTGTGTGTTGCAACCAACATTTTCTTGCCACGCTGTCGAAAAAGTTCGCGCCGCCACTGGACTAAAACACCGTGTTGTAAATATTTAGGCAACTTTTAGGGTTATAACTTTATTGTTGGATTCAAAACCTGTAGGTATTCCAGGTATGAGTAATAATCTTCTGTGGATAGGTACTTAATTAATATAGACATGACGTAATCATATAGTTTTTATAATTTAGTTTAATTAAGGCTACTATAAATAACAACATAAATAACACATGTAATGGTTCAAATAAATATTTTATGCAATTCAGGTACTTATTGTTGGTTGTTAAATAATAATGTGTATTATATTATTATTGTTTTATTTGTGAGACATAATAATATATTTTAAAACATAAACTACTGCAGTATAAGTAATGGTACCTATATAAATATCTTTTTTAAATAATAATTAATAACTCTTATAATTTGTATTACTTATTATGGAGTTTACACTATAAACGAAGAGAATTAAATAATTTTAAAAATTTTTAAAATTTTAAAACGAATCATTCTTAGGCAAAGCCATAAAAATATATTACAAAATTTAGTCATTTTTAATGGATTGGTATGACATTTAAATATATTTAAATATTTTATTCTTACTGCATATTAGGCTTTAGCCTTTGTAATTATAAAGGATATATTTGTATCGATGACTAACGTGAGGGATAAGTGAAAAACTGTTTAAAATTTTCCACTACCTACAGTAAATAATATACACCAATTATATTCGTTGCTCACTCTATTTTTTCTTTTAATCATTTGTATTAATTAAAATTCAGATTTATGGACAATGGACATTATTCTAAAACAAATAAATTCTAATCATTCCGAACCCACTCTTTCATTTCGATTTAGAAGTTTATACGTTGATGGTCATCACAAAAAAAAATCATCAATCTATTTAATAACCCACAGTAAAAAGGGTGTGGTTTACATTTTAAAAAAGAAATTTGTTTTATCGCAGCTAGAATTCTCTAATCTAAGTATTTAAAATTATGGTCTTTAAGTTACGGATAAATGTATTGTTACATGCAGGATAACGGGGGGTTAAAAACTTAAAACGGGATAGTTGTTAACTGATTCTCCGTTGGAACCCAATGAAATAATCGTTGATCATGATAGTTTGTGATAAAACTTAATGCTTAAATTAAAAATGCATTAATTTCCCTATTGAACTGTAATCGAAAAACGATATCAAATAATTATTTAATAGCCAGAAAAATATTTTGACATAAAAAATTCTATTGTTTCGCAAACAATACGCATTAAATGAAGAATATTTATTGTAATATATCCTTAACCATTAAAAATATAATTTATACTATAATATTAGTTCAATTTGAACATATGGTATTTCTATAATAACTAACCCTACACAAATTCATTGTAACTTCGACTTTTAAAACTCTAAAACTTCTTTAACTTGAAGTATACCTATAGATGCTATTTTCCCTTAGGAATCTTAGATGTTACGCAAAATACCTTTTATCCTTGGATAAACACATACAACAGTGATCGCATCTATAAAAGTTCCAGTTTATCATTACATCATGTTTAATAATCTTTATAGGAAATCATCTATAGTTAGTAAACAATGGTAGTCAAATTATGTTTTATGTACTATTTAGATGTTTTAATTATTAATTTTTAAAAGGAATAGTTATATTTGTTATTTTTCAACATTATGATATTAATATATTATGTACTAGCTATGTATATATTATTATTATATAAAACAAATAAGTATTATTTAATATAGAGCATAGACACATTGGTTGCCTATCTGAATGTATAAACAACAGTTTATATTTATGATAGTTTATAATTTATTTGCAATGAAATAATGAATAATTTGATAATAAGGTCATAGGTATTAAAACAATTAAATTTAATGTCAAGATCTTCTATAAGAGTTTATTTATTTATTAGTTTATTTCAATTTCAAATGGTAATTTGGAATAATGAAAAGTGCATATTATTTTAAAAATAACATGTGTAAAATATGTAAAATTTACATTTAACATATATTAATTGTGTATTTTATCATACATGGTCAGACGATCTACCTGCATATCTTGTTGAGTAATAAGCACCCTTTGTGATTATTACATTGATTTAGACTTAGGTATTTACCAATATGTCATGTGAATGAAATGTATATAGGTATATGTTATATCTACCTTTGCAAGAATATACAACCTATTTTATTATAGGTTCAAACTTGAATCATTTACAATTTAATTATTTATGTACATGGTTTTAGAAGAGCAGCGTGCACAGATCTTTTAATATTTAAACTGGTATAGGTATTAAGATATGGCTTAAATATATGAAATCATCGGTAGTTGTACCTATGTACCTACTCACCTACTCAAAATAACAATTAGATATCATTTATATTTAACTTGACGGTTTAATTTTTATGCAAATTACGATCAAACGATATCATTTATACCTATAATAATTAATAAGTAATAATCATATCTGTGTTTATACAATTTGCATTTAGACATGTATGTACATTTATACATATTGTACGAATACTATATAATATTATTTATGTTTCCCATTTTATATGCTTACCACCGACATTATTCGGGCCAATTATACTGATGTTGTTGAGCATGTTCGGCCTTAACCCCGGCCTAAACGGTATCGACGACAGAATTGTGATCGATTTTTGATTTCCGCTTTCTTAAAACAGTGGACGCAATTATATTTAGAACCGCGACGACGACGACGACGAATGACGAAAAATCACTAAACGCTCTCAGTTTTCGATCTCGTTGATTTGGCATCTGACCAACAGTCGAATGAACCGCCGACGGTAGACGTCCCTCTAGGAGGGTACAGCCGACGGTTGGCCGAGGTAGTCATAGATCCGCTGGGAAATCTTTCAATCCGATCGACAGGACGAAGTAAAATAGTAATGAGGATAACTTGTTAAATTTGTGAACGAACACAATATAATTAAAATTTCATTATTTCTTTGCAGTTTTACACGCACTGTCGCGAATGGTACGCGGCCGATACCGACGTCTATAATATTAGATAAATGATACTCGCACGCGCGTTGCACGATATATCGACGACGGTGCGATACGATGTGTGATGCGATATGTAGTGCTAGCGCGTGTGGTGCAACTACGACGGCGCGGATGTTGCATTCGGAAAACGCGTCAGCGACAGTGGCGGCTGTCTTATGACTTGCTCCGGTATATACCGAGGCAGTGGCGGCTGCGGCCACCGGCGGCCGCTCGTCAGCGACGCGCGTTGTGCCGAGAGGCGTTGGCATCAGCAGCAGCATCCGGCCGCCGTTCTGATTGGACCAATCGTCGGCCGACGTGGGCGTGGTCAACCTCGGACCCGGGAGCCCCGTCACACCGTCGACACTGCACGCCGCACGTTTACGTTCGTTCACTCGTCGTCCACCCGACCGAGGCCGCCGCAACGGCAGTCTGCACCACCACCGTCGCCACCGCCGCCACCTTTCTACCCTAAACACCGCCACCGCCACCACCACCGCCGCCGCCGCTGCCGCTGCTTAGTGGCCCGCGGCACTCGAGTAGATGATAGTTATGCGAATTGAAAATGAATGAATCCTAAACGTGACTAGAGAGAGAGAGATAGAGAGAGAGAGAGTGTGAGGGGGGGAGAGGTAGGGAGGGAGCGAAAGGTGAGCGAGAGAGATAGAATAAGTGAGAGAGCGAAAGAGATAGACTTGGACTGAAAATGCGTAAAAAAACCAGAATCGTGGCAAGAATAGTGCAGGAGTGAAGTGAATGACTTTGCTTGGTGGGGGTAGGGGGAAGAGTAGAAAACGCTCACGGTTTTTCGTATTTTTTTTCATTTCTACCGAATTCCCAGGTATATAATATTATACCTACAGACGGGCTAATGAAATATTGATTAGAGTATAACGTCAAGTGCCGCGCATTTATACGAGGGTGGTTTTTATTTATTTCATGCCATATACATCCCACTTTTTCTTTTACTTATTTATTTTATTTTTATCGTCGTCATGCGGTTTATTTGTTTCCATTGTTTGTATATTCCTAATATACCTATATATGATAACGAATTGATTAAATTAAGTACATGTATATACAAGCGGCAGCAATAGCAATATGAATTTATGGCACGCGGGCAGATATCAGAAACTACATCATAATATTATATTGAAGATAATATTATATAGGCATTATATTTTCCCTCTGCGAATTCTGCCTTTTAAATATATATATATAGTATTATACAGGATGATTCACCAGGCACGCTCGCCCCCTTTCTTCTTCAATAATGCAATTATTCAAAATTTGATTCTTGAAATTATTAAATGTACTTATAATAAGATCATATTTTCAAATTCTTGAGATTTTTTTTGTACTACTTATTTCTAAAGGAGTGTACTGTGAAGAAACAAACTTCCGTTTTTCAAATGGGAAACCCCCCTCCACCTTTGCTGCAAATTATTTAGATAATTTTTCTAAAAATGTAGTCGTACTTATCAATAATCCTAAAATAGTTTAGTTTTTGAGTTATTTAATTAAATAAGTTAAACGTGTGTGCCCACTAAAGTACTAAATACTAATGATAATATTATGTTCACGATGATGGGCTTAGAATATATTTTTGGACAGTGGTGATTAGATCATTTTAGTTGTTTATAGGTATTAATCTATTAACATTTATAATTTGGAAATGATAAATGTATAAAAATACTATGAATCTAATATATTACATCTATTGTATATTTTTGTCAAACCATTTTCAAGTACTATTACTATGTCCAAACATTTTCACAACTGCGAAACTACTTGTCCAAATTTTGAATTAGGTAGGTAAATCGAAATTTAAAAAAAATTATCCAATAAATAATCTATAATAAAAATGGGAATTCTTATTTCAAAAACAGGCATTTATATTACCAAAGGATACTCTTTAAGTAGTACAAAAAAAATCCTAAGAATTTTAAAATAGGGTCTTTAAGTATATTTCAAAATTTCAAAAATCTGAATTTGATTTAAATAATTATTAGAGGAAAAATATAATGTTGAGCATGCTTGGTGAATCACCCTGTGGCCTGTACCTACAGCTTTTGCAGCATCGACATGAATGTTACCGTTTTAACCAGACGGCTTATTTTTTCGGTCCCATATATTTACTACACAATAACTGTACACGTTTTAGATTATTTTTTTTCAACTATATACATAGTTAATAATATATATTTAAGTGCGGTATATTGTATTATATTTTATATTGTGAGTATCTACATATTATTATATAGTTTATATAAAATGTATTTCTTTTGAATGAAATAATTTGATTTTAAATTGGATATTATTGCTTATTTAAAATACAATTGTGAAGAATGAAGATACATAATATGATATTTTTACCCATAGGTAAAAATAGTAGGTAATATCTAATAATTTATAATATGCAAAAAAATATTAAAACAATATACCAAATTGCAACATGAGTATTAAACATATACTTATGTAATATGTATATATTTATGTGGCATCTACGAATATTTTGCAGTAATAATTAATGTATTTAATATTTCATTTATAAAATGTTTATAATTATTAATTTTTGTACTAACTAAAAAAACGTTATTATTCGCGATGATGATTAATTTTAATACTGTTATTTTAATGTATGTTAGAATCTATATTTTATATAACTGTTTAGCTATTATTATGATTATTATTTATTGTGGTATGCTGGAATCATCTATGTTAGGTAAAGACCTCCTATTAATCTACCTATTATGTGTGTTTTAAGTCAAATGGGAGGTGCAGAGACTTCGGCATTAAAGGACAAGACTTTCTATTAAGTATACTTAATTTTTTTCTAATTATTCCGGACATATGACCATTTAATTTATGAGCTTATAAAATATAAATCTTAAGTACTTCAGCTATTATTCAAATATTTGCTAGTGAATTAATTCCATATATAATACCCACTTCACTAAAAGCCATAGGACAATTTTGCATTCCTACTTTATAAGCAACCATATTGAGGAATCACATCTGGACTTTTTGAATTGTGTTTATGAACAACCCAACCTGGCTAACATTCCAGACTGATAACTCAAAATATCATAACAAACGGATAAAGACAAAGTATGAAACTTTTAAATGGCTAATATTTGAGAAATCACAACAGTTACACTTATTTACGTTTAATAAATCCTTACGTTCCAAGTGCTCTTCCAATTACTATATAAATAGAATTTAGGAAATAGGTATTTAAATAATAAATACATCTCTATACATTTTCTATTTCATGATGAAAATGACATGATGACTGACCGTTACGTAATAGTGTAGTACTGTAGTCAGAGGTTAATGGCTGTTTTTTAAGAGAAAATGTTGTGTTTGCAAACATTTAGAAAGATTTAACTTTTTATAGAGCGCATCATTGTTCCAAAATCATAATTTCGCTCTGGATTAATGAACACCTAGTCATCATGTGTACTGAGATAATTGAGCAAAAAGTTTCAAATCATCGCAAAATAATAAAAATTTACAAAATGTATAAATATATATTTCATTCGATCATGGTATAAGAAACAACAGAAGAGAGATGTGGCCACCCTGTGAAACGCCAGAAGCCACATTACATATTACTATTATTGGTATTTACCAAAGTAATACGATAACCCCTTTTACATGGAACCATTTACACCGGTTATTTTAATTTTGCGAATAAAGCTGTTACATTGAATGTATCAAACTTTTTTTATGTTTGTATGAATGATATCGGCTTGGTTATTGTCAGAAACCACATGAATTAAATAAGAATATAATGTAATAAGATTAGTATATACTAGCTGATTTTAACTTCAGAAAGACATGTTATTTGTTAATGAATAATAATGATATGTTCAAATGTACTATGTATAACATAATACCGATTCTAATTATTTTTCGATCAGTTTTGCTGAACACTTAATTTAGATATTGGGGCATCAGGTGGTAATAACTAATTTTTTACTTATATCCTATCTCCAAATTTTCAAAATGGTGTAATATTTGAAGGTATTCAGGAATATTCAAGATACTACTAGATAAAGACATATTAAATATCCGAGTTGTTGGATATGCTGATGAATAAAGCTAAGATTTTGGTGACTTTTAAATTGTTTTTCTCTAAGTGTTATACAATTCTAACCAAAAAATAAATTTGTTTCGTAGTATAACAATTTAAAATATGTAATTTTTATTTTGAATTTTATTGCATTTTTGAGGGCATTTTTACGTAATATTATAAATATTAACTTTACAAAATGCCACAAATTAAGTCAATAGTAGTTTTGTGAGCGATGATGGTATTCCGGAAGACCTAACTTTAAATGATATGGTTCATTTCAAATATGCCCCGATTACTTCTGTGGACGTTGAATGAAGTTTTTCTTCATATAAAAACATTTTATCTGACCGCCATCGCAGCTTCCTGTTTGAAAATCTTAAAAATTATCTAATTGTCCAATGCAATAATATTTGTATAGGTGAAAAAAAATATGATATATTTTTCATTAAATTATTTTAATTTATGCTTTTATTGATTTTTCAGAATAATTATAACAGGAAACGGTTACATTCACAAGTCTATTATGTTCATAATTAATAATTAATAATAATATTTATTTTTAAAATACATTTTTTTCACTCATCTAAGGCCATGACCATTCGGTCATTTTTGCATTTTTTTTTTAGTGCATTTTTGTGTATTATTTAGGTCATTAAAATCCTAGATCTACTGATGAATAACGACATTATGTATATACAGGAACCATTGTGGTACTAACTTTGGCTCTGAGCTTGGGTTAAAGCGAATGTGGACGAGGTCTTCAAATATGTCTTTTTTTGAAAATAGGTAACTAGATAAATTTATATTCCGAGGTAAATTACTAAAAGTTTAATAATTAATATTAATTCTTATTAATTATTTTCAAAATCTAACAAAAAATATTAACCAAAGTAAGACAGTGCTTGCCGTGACGTATATGTGGCACTAGCCCGAGGCCGCCAATGTACGTCCTGGTATACGCGTAGTATTGTTATCAGCACATTAAAAAAAAACAGTGGGAAAATAATAAATATTTATTTTAAACAAACAAAAGTTAAAAAAGTTAATTTTTAAACATTCAGTAATTTAGACGTTATTCTGTATCATTATTTATTAAACCAAGAAGGATATTTATGTACATGCAAT